GGCGAGGCAGGTGCCAGCCAAATGCCTGATGAGGCGGGTGGCTTCTGAACCAGGAGCCCAGGCCTGAGTCTGGGGCTGCTGACTGCTCCTGTAGGTGCCTGGCACACCCAAAGAGCTCCCACAGCCTCAGCTCTCTGCCTGGTCTGCCAACCTTCCTCACTGCAGCCTGAGACTCCGTCCCCACCTGGCCTGTCATTCAGGTTCTCTGCCAACCTTAGTGGGCGGTAAACAGCATTTCCACAGGACCATACTCTCAGCTGGGTTCCCAATAGCAGATCTGAAAAGCCAGCTTGGATCTTCCCAGAGATCTGGCTGAACTTTGTGAATTTCCTCTGGATTTCTGGGCACCGAGCAGCAACCAACAGCTGGCCCCTGAAGCCAAGCAGATCTGAAAAGCCAGCTTGGATCTTCCCGGAGATCTGGCTGAACTTTGTGAATTTCCTTTGTGATTTCTGGGCACCAAGCAGCACCCAACAGCTGGCCCCTGAAGCCCGAGTGTGAGCGTTTGAACTTGTGCTGCAGAAGCCTTCCTGCTGGTGGCCCGTCCCCACCAGGTCCACAACCACAGGTGTCCACGCCTACCAGAGGCCACAATTAAAGGTGCCGGGGCGGCCCCACCCCAGGTGACTTTGCTAAAGAGGGAACCCCTCACACCTCGCAGGATGGCCACTGGCCATGGCATCCCTGGTCAGACATGCAAATTCTTGGCTCTGCCCTTCCTCTGTGAGCAAAATCACAGACGCCGTATTCTGTAGTCAGCATGTTTCATCGGACTCTGTCCACACGCAGGAAAGCCTATGCTTCGTCACCTGAGTTGTGTGGGCATTCCTTTGGTTTGGTTTATATTTTCTTTTATTCCAAGCCTACACTTACAGGGTTTATCCCAACACCACACAGAGGACCGCCTCATTTGGGCTGATCTCCACCAAGCCTTGGTTTAATTCTGTTTCTGTTTCTGGAAAGCTCTCTTGCCGCAGGGCAGCCTGCCAAACCTCAGGAAGGTGGTTGCTGTCAGCCTGCCTCTCAGCCTTCAAGGTCGATGATGCAGTTGGGAATTCGGTGGCCAACTCCTGAGGGATGAGAATGAAATGGCAAATGCTCAGGTGTGCCTGGGGTCACTCCCCCCCAGCACTCTGTCTTGCAAATGAGTAAAGTGAGGCTCAGGGCCAACAGGTGGTGTGATGGTTAACGTACTAAGTACCACATTTCTAACTCCATGGTTCAAGTCTCAGAACTGGCAGCTTGAAAAATGCACCAGGTGTATGTGCGCGCATGCCCAAAAGTCCCAAGAGGAGGGTGGAGAAAAGATTATGGCATGGCCATCCTGCCTGGGGGTTGGTTTCTCATTATTTGTTTTAATGCGACCAGAGAAAGACAGAGATAGAGACAAAGAGAGAGAGAGAGAGAGAGAGAGAGAGAAAGAGAAGAAGGAAAAAGGAAGGAAGAAGAAAGAAAGAAAAAGAGGAAAGAAAAAGAAAGAAAGAAAGAAAGAAAGAAAGAAAGAAAGAAAGAAAGAAAGAGAAAGAGAGAAGAAAAAAAGAAAAGAAAGAAAGAGAGAGAGAGAAAGGAAGAGAAAGAGAGAAAGGAAGGAAGGAAGGAAAGGAAGAAGAAAGAAAAGTGAGGCTCCAGTTGAATTTGCTTGGGAAGGAGCTGGAGTCAGGGTCCCCCACTTCTTCACTGTCCCGTCGGCCAGTTTCAAGCATCTCAGGGAGTGGCACCTTAGGGAAGTAATTCTTCCCCAGAAGCTCTGGTTGCCTTGACCTCTTCCAAGCAGCCCTCACTCTGTGGCAGTGGGGAGGTGTCCTGCCCAGATGCACACGGACTGGCATCTGTGGCATCTTGGCATCCAGAGGCATTCCCGGACCCTGTCAGCCTGCCGAGGATACCCAGCAGCTGCCTCCTCTCCCCTCACTCCGATCCTCTGGGTAACAGCTGAGCCCTGAGCCCGTGGCCGTGGCCTGTGGCGGGAGAAGCCCTATCACTGGAAACATTTTACACGGCCTGCTCTGTGCACAGCCAAGTGCTGCAATAGGACCTGTGACCTTCTGAGCTTCGGCCAACTTAGACCAAGACGCTCTGCAGAAGACATTTCTGCCAGTGGTGACAGTTCTGTGACAGCAGGAGTTGCCCAGCAGGAAGCTCACTGTCCCTTCATGTCGGGCCCACGTCATCCCATCCAGGCACCCATGGTGTCATCCAGCACAAGTCATCTGGATCATCCATCCATTCTCGATGGCTTCCTTTCAGTCAAGAGAAGTCACACACCTTCAGTTCCAGCAAGCCGCTGCTTGAGCCGAACTGAGCTGTCTCCAGGTAAGTCTGTGGCTTTCTTAGAAACTCGAGTCCTGAAACTTACTGAACTGAGACTATTCTTGGGCCTGAGGCCAGTGGCTCCATCCCCCTTCCCCCGCGTTCACATGGGACTCTCAGCCTGTACCCTGGGGCAGGGGCACTGCTCTGGGCACTGCGACAGGGGAGAGATAAGGCCCTGCTTGCGTGAACTTTATCAGCTAGTGATGAGCAGGTCTGGGGATTTACATGGGGTTGGGGAGGGCAGCTGTAGCCACCGGGAGGCAGTCAGTGCAAAGTGCCTCTCCAGTGGGACAGATCCTGTCAACGGATGGGAGAGTGTCGAGCTGTGGTGTGAAGTCCTTGGTTCTTTGGGTCCGGATCACTAAAATTAGAGATCTGTTCCTAGGTGCAAAATGAAACCGCAAACACTAATGAAGTAGGTAGAAAAGAAGATTTAATAGGAAAGAAAGAAAAGAAAGAAAAGTACACCCCAAAAGGTTGTTGGGCGGGCAGATTGCCAGGTGGCAACCGCGTTTGGTACTAGTTAACCGTTACTTTTATTACTAGAGGTCATGAATATTCATTAGAGGGAGGCCCCTTACGCTGCCTATGTCCTTCCTTTAAATTTGAATCCACACGTTCTTTTCCTGCACCTGCGCACCTTCCTCACAGGTAAAGAACGAGGACCTTGATCACCTAATTGCGCATGCCCAATGCGAGCCAGGTTGCCCCAATTAGACTGCCCAATTAGTCCATCGTCCTAATGGGAATTAGGGCACTGACCAAAACGCTTGCTTAGGTCTTTTAGATAAGAGAAAAATCTACGAATCATCTCTGTGCGCTTCCCTCAGGCCTCAAGGAAGGGAGTTGGCAAATTGCCTCGCCCTCCTGGCACCCGGAGCTGGATGAGCCTTTCGCTCTTCTCTTAGGGCTGCCCGCTCGTGGCTAACTGCCGACCACAGTCCTCCTTCACAATGACGATAGGGCCAGCCTGCAGCGTAACGGTTAAAGACCACCAGCAGTACGAATCCCAGCCCTGACAGCTTGAACAACACACAGGGACCAGCAGGTGGCATAATGGCTATGTCGCTGGACTACCATGTAGTGACCCTAGTTTGAGTCCCAGACCCGGTGGCTTAAACTCACACTGGGCATGTGTGCGTGTGGGCCCAAGAGGAAAGTGGAGGAGAAGGGATTGTGGCGTGGCCATCCCCCCCGGGGGGTGATTTCTCACTTTCTGTCTCTCTGTCTCTCTCTGTCTTTCTGGCAGAGTACATGTGCCCGTTTAGCAAAATCCTCTCAAGAAAAAACAAACAAACAAAAACACTAGGCCTGTGTGTGTGTGTGTGCCCCAAATCCTAACAGGGTGAAGAAATGGAGAAGAAAGGTTGGGGCATGACCACACCACATGGGTAGGTGTTTTCTTTAACCTGCTGGTGGCACAGGGAATGGCTCCCTCGGAGCATGACTCCTGGCAACTGGTGGGTCTCCAGCCCACCTCTCAGCCCCAGGGCCCAGCACTGTAAACAAAGAGAAAAACAGCCCCAGGAGGCCCTGTGTGGTTGCATTGAGAGTCAGTTTGCTCAAAATACATTCTTAAGTATTTATAGAGAAAGGGGCAGAGGCCTTATTAAAAAGTGGTGTGTATGAAAACAAAAGTCAGGGGAGGAAATCCTTCCAGAGCTGGGAAAGCATTCACAGGGAAGGAGGGGTCAGAGCTGAGCGGGCCACGGGACTGGAAGGGCTTGAAGCTCTGGGCCTAACGGGAGCCAGGGCAGGGCATGGCGCCCGCCAGGACTGGACGAGCATGCCCTAGTGGGGAGCTAACATCCTGCCCGCATGCCCAGGAGGAGGTGTTTGGGGGTAAGGAAAGCTTTTTGTCTTTTCTCTCTTTGTTTTCTTTTTCTTCTAGGGCGAATTGAGAAAACATTTCCCTGTCTCCAGCTGTGGGGTTATGGTGGGTTGAGACTGGGCAGGAATTGGGGACACAGTCTATTCTCCTCAACACTGCACCGGTTCCCGGCCCGCAGACTTTGGGCCAGTGCGGCCGAGAGAGTCAGGAAATCAAAACACGCCAGCCTCAAGGCATGTGCAAAGACAGAGCCCCACAGGCCTGAGGGAAAGCGCTCTTGGCCCGGGGCTCCAGTGTGCATTACCTGTCCCTGGTGTTCTCTAAGCTGTGTGGTCCCCCGGTGTGACATCTGTTTGGAGAAGGGACACTGACGGAAGCAGGATCCCATCAGAGGTTCATGTGAGGGCTGCTCTCTGAAGCAGCGTGTGCTTCCCAACAGCAGCGCTTGTGTCAGCAGTAAAGTATTTCTGCGATAGCAGGCTGAGTGATGTCATGTCTTCATTCCAAAGACCTGAAGTGCTGTCCCTGAGCTGCCGCTGGGGGCGTGCACCGGGTCAACTCCTGGGCCACACCGCACACTGAACATGAGGCCACTACATACTCTTGGTGCTATCAGCTTCCCCAGTCGGGCTTCACTGTGGGGTTTCGGAGGCTTCAGGGTGTACCCAGAGGAGACACAGCTGCCTTACAGGGCTGTGCTCCCCACAGGACCAGGGCACTCGGGTCAGTAAGATGCCAGGAAGCCTGCTTAGGTTTGCTTCTTCCTGCTTGTTCCGATCCATTTCCCCGCTTCGATCTCACACCTACACTGACTCTCTTTCCGCAGCTCCCGACTCCATTTATTTTCAGTTGTTGCCATAGGGCATGCATGCTTGCTGGAGAAACACACAGAGAGGGGAGGTGCATCACTTCCCTGGGAGATGGCCATACCACAAGCCCTTCTCCATTCTCCTCTTGGGATTTGGGGCAGGCGTGCACACATGCACCCAGTGTGATTTTCTTTTCTTTTTTTAAAAATTCATTCATTCATTTATTATTACATTTTATCACATGTCTTTACAGAATACACTTCTTTTTCCAACACAAATACCATGCATGTCAGTCAAGACAAGGATATTACTATATACAGTATCATCAGCAAATAGCTTCTCTTTTTTTGTCAATTAAGCATGCTTTTACCCATTTTTTCCTTTCCTTTTCCCCTCCCTCCCTTCCATACTAAACTTTTTTTTTTACATTTTACTGATTCACAAAACATCTTAAAGTATGAACAAAGCTAAAATCTAGTAACTAGTGCACTGTAATTTTCTTCTCTAACATTTTTTTCTTCTCTCCATTCTCCCTTTTGCTAAAAGGAGATATAAACTAACTTATTTGCAAAAAAAAAAAAAAAATAAGGTTAATCTCAATTTGGTCTGTTATTTGCACAAAGCCCCATAAGAATTCGATTTCTGATGCAAGGCAACAGATACCATTGTATTATTGAATTTATGCAAATAATCATTCCGCCACAAAATAAGAATGCTCACAAATATTTTCCAATTGCAAAGGGGTCAGGAAGGGAGAAAAGTTTATGTTTCAATTTTTAAAATTCTTTTTTTAACAAATTGCTGAACTCGACCACTCAAAAGAAACCAAACATTCTTAAATCTGGAAGACAAAGCATAGAAGAAAATCAGTAATGTTTTAGAAAAAAGTCATAGAATTTTATTTCACCAGTTCAGTCTCCTGTACTCTCTCTTTGGTTGAATTTGCAGTGTTACTGTGGTCTGACCTTCCTGTTAACATTCAACATTGTTATTGATATTTCAGAACTTGTCCCTACCATTAAATTGGAAATTTTCTTGGTCATTTTTTGCTCTCTTATTTGTCTTAGTTTTGCTGGTATAGTACTCCCTTCAGAACCTCTCGAAGAGCTGGTCTGGTGTTGGTAAATTATTTCAGGTTTTGTCTATCTGAGAATGTTTTTATCTTTTCTTCCCATATGAATGATGATCTTGCCAGGTATAGTATTTTGGGTTGAAATTGTTTTTCACTTAACACTTTGACTATATCTTCCCATTTGTTCCTTGCTTACATTATTTCCGACGAAAGGTCCAATGTTAGAATGATGGGATATCCTTTGAAAGTAACTCAATGTTTTTTTCTTGCCTGTTTTTAGGGTCTTACCTCTGTGGTTTTGGTCAATCTGGCTATGATGTGCCTTGGGGAAGATCTTCTTATGTTGATTCTCTGTGTGATCCTTTCTATTTCCTGGGTCTGGATATTTGAATGCCTCTCTAGATTTGGAAAGTTTTCTTCCAGGATTTCATGAAATAAATTATCAATGCCCTGATCAGTTTCTTCACCTTCTGGGATACCGATTATTCAGATGTTTGGTCAGCTAATGGTAACTAGTATTACTCGTATATTATTCTCATTTTGGATGTTTATTTTCTCAGTCTTTTTGATGAATTTTTCTAGGTCAGAGGTTCGATCTTCTACATCTGGAATTTGATCTTCTGCATGATCTAATCTGCTTTTAATACTTTCAAGGGAGGTTTTGATTTCCTGTATTATAGCCTTCATCTCTAGCAGATCCGCTTGATTCTTTTTTATGGTGTGTATTTCCTCTTTCAGATTGTGGAAGAACTTCTTCACCTCCTAGAACTCGTTGTTTCTTCTGCATTTTCTGGAGTCTTGTGTCTCTCTTCTCTTGCATCTCTGTTAGCTTTGTAACTATGAATATCCTAAATTCTTTACCTGACATTTCCATGAGTTCCATCGTACTATCTGTGGATGACAAAGGACTGTTCTTTCTCCTTGGGGGAGAGATATTTTTTTTCATTTCCCATATTTCTCGTGCCTCTGCAGTGGTGGTTTCTGGTCATCTGATAGATTATGCATTACTTCCTACTTTCTTGGAGTTAATCCTGAGTGTTAGAGACATGTGGAAAAAGATGGCCTGGAATATTTCTGCAGTTCCATTTCCCTGACCCTCACTAAGCAACCCACACTTTTGTCAATGGAACTGGATATTATAAAGACCTCACAATTTCAAGGGAATAGGTGCACCAGGACTGAGCTGTGGGGTTTAAAGTAGTCAGATGTTTTGCTACTGTGCACCTAGACCTGCCTAAACACTCAATGTGTAGAGGGTCAGAAGCCATGTGAGAAAGTCAGGTAAAAGACAGGAAACAAAGAGGAAAAGGCAAAAATAAATAAATAAATAAATAAATAAAGACAAAGCAAAACAATTAAAGGGGGAAAATTAAAAATAAAAGAGGTAAAAAAAAATGAGAACTGCACAGCGCTCTGGGCAGAGCTAGGCCTCAGATGCACATAGATTCTGAAATTAGCAAGAGAAAGGAGAGGTCAGAGAGGTTTAGGGAAGAGGTTTTCTGGTTAAAGAGGCAGGACTAGCCTCACCTCAAATGCACATGGATTCTGGCTTTTTGCTGGGTGTTGGGCCAGAAAAGAGGTTTGGAGCAGAGACATCCTTGTTAAAGGAGAAGGGCTAGGCCCACCTTGGATTCTGGCTTTTTGCTGGGTATCGCACCCAGTGTGATTTTCAAGCCACAGGGTCCAGGACTCGAACTGTGGTGAGCCATGTGAGAATCCAGTACCTTAACTATCACACCACCTGCTGGTCGCCACCAACTCAATTTTCAATCAATGAAACATCTTGAAGTTTCAAATGGAGGAATGAAAGAATGACACCACTTTAGCATAAAGATTATTTTGAGGGACCAGCAGACGGTACCATGGTTATGTCACTGGACTCCCACGTGGCTGACCATGATTCGAATCCCAGACCTGAAGTCTTGAAATTCACACGTGTGCATGTGCGTGTGTGCCCAAAATCCCCAAAGGAGAATAAAGGAGAAGGGATTGTGGCGTGTCTATCTCCCCTGGGGTTGACTTCTCACTCTCTGTCTCTCTGTTTCTCTGTCTCTCCAGTGACCACATACCCCTATAGTAAAACTTTCTTTCAAAAAAAAAAAAAAAACTCAGTTAAAAAAAGAAGATTCTTTTGAGCTAAAGGTGTTTCAGATTCAACTGATATGGGAGGAAGCCTTTCCAGAGCTTCCCTTGCCTAATACAACCAGAATTGTTGAGCAGTGAAGACTGTCACAGAGTCAATCTCCTTGGGAAGTTTCCTGGCCATGGAGAAGATGGAAAGTGGGTGCCAAAATGGACCTGCACGACCCAGCCTCACTCCACTAGTCTCCCCGAGGGCTTGCCTCCTCAGCCTGCCACCACTGGGAGGCCAAGACGTTTTCATCTTGTCATTCTCTACAAAATTATTGGGCTTGGGACCAGCAGTTGGCGTAATGGCTATGTCGCTGAACTCCCATGTAGCCGACCATGGTTCGAATCCAGACCCAGTAGGTTAAACTCATGCCGGGCACATGTGCATGCATGCCCAAGATCCCGAGAGGAGAATGGAGGAGAAGGGATTGCGGTGTGGCCATCCCCCCTGGGGGGTGATTTCTCACTTTCTGTATCTCTGTCTCTCTCTATCTTTCTGGCAAGTGCACACGCCCTATAGCAAAAACCTCTCCAAAAAAAAAAAAATCTCAAAAAAAAAAAATTGTTGGGTTTGTTAAGAGGCCATATAAACCCAACCTCTAACCACTGCTTTGAGCATTCATACTGATTTCTCTGTAAGTGTGTGCTATGCATGTGTTAATAAACTTGTTTGTTTTTCTCTTGTTATTCTGTCTTTTGACAGTCAGATTTCCAGGGCCTCAGCTGGAGAACTTAGAGAGGTAAATGGAAAAAATATTTTTTTAATATCTCAATTTCATATTACATGGCCCATTACCAATATGCAAAGAAAGCCACTCTGTATTAAATGGAAAATTACAGAAGGCAAGTGTCTGTGAGACGTGAAGAGGGAGGCACACTCCCAAATGTTCTCGAGGGGTACCTGAATTTTGTGAATTGTCGTGTTAGCGAGTGTCGATTTATAGCCATTAGGCAAATAAAACCACACGAATTTCCTCGAAAGTAGCTATTTGCAAAAGATGCTGTCCTGTCTATAGACTATTAGCAGAGAACAGAATATATCCACTAATGGTTTGTAATCCAGGCCAGGCACTGCTACAGCCAATCGTGAAGCCAGGGAGCAATGTCTTCTCTAGTCCTGACATAAACCGTTTCCCAATCTCGACCTGGCAGAGAGACTGAGACAATCCATCACGTGGCCTAAGGACCCTGCAACAGGAAGGGGATGCAGGCCAGAGTGACTCCACAGTCTGAACCCTCCTATGTGACCAGAACCCTGACACCAGCACAGCCCAGGGCAGGGAGGAAGTGCCTTCGACTCTGGTGACCTCGAAGGGCAGCAGGATGGGGCACTGGTCAGCAGGTCTGTCCACCCTGGACAGGTCATGGTCCTCTTCCATCAGGAGCCCACAGCGTGCTGTAGGCTTCTGAAAAATGTCAACCCGGTGGCTAGGGCTGCCCAGGCCTGAAAGTGTGGACGGATCCCTGGAGGGATCAGGATTAGACAACAAAGCTGAGAGTGGCCCCGACTGACAGGTACACCTTCTGAATGAACCTTCCTTCATGAGAGACCCCCAACCTCCCAGCCCAAATGTGAGCCCCAAGGCAGATGCCACCAGCCAGCCGGATCCCTGGGGACCAGTACTCACTGCCCTGAACAAGCCACGGGAACTGGACAGGCGGGAAATGTCCGAACACACCCCTGAAGGGCGTGGGCCGGATCAGCAAGGCATGAGGTATTTTGGCCTGGGGACACGGATGGTTAAAGTACTTCACTGACCACCCTGGCCTGGAAATGAAACAGGAAGGAAGCCAGAGCCCCTACGCCAGGCCCTCCCTCACTGAGGTCACCAGGGAGCAAACCCTTCTGTGATGCAAGTTTTTTCTTTCAGAGCCTTCTAGATTCACAGTGAGTAAAACTGAGCAGACTGTGGTGGACAGAAGTTAGGTGAGCAGGGTCTGAACACAGGACGGAGCTGGCGCTGAAGACCTGTTCACCTCCATCTAGGAGTCTGGCCCAGGGACGTACAGCACAGAGCAACTCCTTCTTCTTGGGAAGAAGAAAAGCTTGCTCTCCAGGACCTGGCCATGTTGTAACTGCCCACGAGGGGGAGCCACCAAATCCCACTGAAGATGTTGAAATCGAGGCTCCTGGGGGGACCTAACTTGCCCAGAGACACGTGGCTGGTACACTAGGCTGCTGGACGGAAGCCAGCTCCTTCTTGGTCGGTGGCCGTGTAAGGCTCTGCATGCACCGTGAAGGACATGTTATAAAGAGAGGGGACAGATCAGAGCAGAGTGAGCAAGAAGAAGGAGACTAGAGAGAGAAAATGCACCCGCACCCCTGCACACACACCCTGCCCTGGTCTACAGCCCCGCATGGATCTGCCAGCCCTCTGGGATTTGGTTAACCCCTCCCGTTCTGGACATTCAGACTCAGGGATTCTCTGCGGGGCTCAGTCATCTTGGACTTTTAGTGAATGCCTCTGGACGATTCTAACCATAAAGTGGGTTTAAAAAACACCACATGGGCTAGCCACGAGTGAGCGCAGTCATGCAGTGCTCTGCGATGCTGAGCCATGAGGGCTGGTTCCACGTTCCCGTCCTGAGGTCTCCCTGTTCATGCTGGGCGTGTGTGCATACATGTGTGTGCACGCCGTAATCCTGGCTGGCGGGACTGAGGACAGAATTGTTACAGGTAGACATTATGAGCAGGGAGTCCCAACCAAGGGGACATCTGACACATCCATCACTGTCACCAGGGATGGCAGCTAGACCCTGGGTGCCAAGGGAGGGGAGGTGACCTGCCTGTGTTCTTCCCTCCCGCCGTCCCACGCACGCACACAGGAGCTCACCTGGATGCTTGGCCAACTTCCTATTTCCCCCCAGGGACAGTAACTGACACAGGCAGAGTCATCCCCATGCAGATGCTCATGGCCTCAGCGTCCACACTGGGCATGTGTGATCCAGTCCTCAGAGTCCCCACCTGATGGAAGTACACAGGAGCATCAGAAAGCCCACGAGTTCCACAGAGGAGTCCGCTACAATGACAGGCCCGTCCTCCCAAATCTTCGTGACGAGCCCCAGGGTGAAAGGACCGTCTAACCCCAGTTCCACACGCTGTCCTCTAACAGCGACCCAATGTGTGCCTTTCTGGCACACGGTGTATATATATTTTTTTTATTAAAAACTTCTCTTTTCCTACTTTACTCACGTTTGTGAGACAGGTGGCTGGTACACTAGGCTGCTGGACGGAAGCCAGCTCCTTCTTGGTCGGTGGCCGTGTAAGGCTCTGCATGCACCGTGAAGGACATGTTATAAAGAGAGGGGACAGATCAGAGCAGAGTGAGCAAGAAGAAGGAGACTAGAGAGAGAAAATGCACCCGCACCCCTGCACACACACCCTGCCCTGGTCTACAGCCCCGCATGGATCTGCCAGCCCTCTGGGATTTGGTTAACCCCTCCCGTTCTGGACATTCAGACTCAGGGATTCTCTGCGGGGCTCAGTCATCTTGGACTTTTAGTGAATGCCTCTGGACGATTCTAACCATAAAGTGGGTTTAAAAAACACCACATGGGCTAGCCACGAGTGAGCGCAGTCATGCAGTGCTCTGCGATGCTGAGCCATGAGGGCTGGTTCCACGTTCCCGTCCTGAGGTCTCCCTGTTCATGCTGGGCGTGTGTGCATACATGTGTGTGCACGCCGTAATCCTGGCTGGCGGGACTGAGGACAGAATTGTTACAGGTAGACATTATGAGCAGGGAGTCCCAACCAAGGGGACATCTGACACATCCATCACTGTCACCAGGGATGGCAGCTAGACCCTGGGTGCCAAGGGAGGGGAGGTGACCTGCCTGTGTTCTTCCCTCCCGCCGTCCCACGCACGCACACAGGAGCTCACCTGGATGCTTGGCCAACTTCCTATTTCCCCCCAGGGACAGTAACTGACACAGGCAGAGTCATCCCCATGCAGATGCTCATGGCCTCAGCGTCCACACTGGGCATGTGTGATCCAGTCCTCAGAGTCCCCACCTGATGGAAGTACACAGGAGCATCAGAAAGCCCACGAGTTCCACAGAGGAGTCCGCTACAATGACAGGCCCGTCCTCCCAAATCTTCGTGACGAGCCCCAGGGTGAAAGGACCGTCTAACCCCAGTTCCACACGCTGTCCTCTAACAGCGACCCAATGTGTGCCTTTCTGGCACACGGTGTATATATATTTTTTTTATTAAAAACTTCTCTTTTCCTACTTTACTCACGTTTGTGGCTTCTTTCTGCATCTCAGAGTGGGTCTCTAAACTTACGGGCCTGTACCCTAAAAATCGAGCATTTCACACAACACAGGTTCAGCCTCTCTGTCTGATGGGATCTCAGTGAGAAGACCCTGTTGGGGGTGCATGTGTCTCTTTCTTTCTTTATCTCGCTCATGGAAGGAAGAAAGAAATACAAATTTTGAAGAACAAAAATACAGTCAAAAAAATCTCTAAAATTCTATGGATTGTAATGAAATGTCCATAATGATCCCTAGTTTGGATGTAAATGGACCCCACTTAGCTGTTGTGTAGTGAACGTTCCCCATGTTCTGGGGGGCTGGCTGTAGAAGCCAACTCTATGCCCCAGTGGATGTCACCCTTCAATGTACACAGGAATCACCCAGGGGTGCCCTAACATGCAGGTTCCTACTCAGAGGCTATAACGAGGCCCGGAATTCTGCATTTCTAACGTGCTCCCAGGTGACATCATGGCGCTGGTCCAGGGTCTCCACTTAGAGCCGCAAGGACACAGGAAACCTCTTCCAACCGCCTGCCATGTGCGAGGCAGGTCCTTGGTGCGTCAGGGCAGCCAGCCCTCATGAGGGGCCTGGGCAACCTCCTTTGTTGACCCCATCACAAGCATTTGCCCTGCAAATAGTTTTTTGTGTATCTTGACATAAAGGTTCAAAGCTCTGCATGGACTCATGGTTCTGAGCGTAGGCAGGGCAGGCTCCAGTGAAAGCAATGGGGTCTCCCACTCTAGAAATACGATGCACATATGTAGAAACTGTGCCTTTGGGTTTTTTTTGTTTGTTTGTTTGTTTTTGCTATAGGGCATGTGTACTCACCAGACAGACAGAGAGAGAGAGAGAGAGAGAAAGCGAGAAATCACCCTCCAGGGGGGATGGTCACGCCGCAATCCCTTCTCCTCCATTCTCCTCTCGGGATCTTGGGCACGCACGCACACGTGCCCAGTGTGAGTTTTAAGCCACCAGATCCAGGATATGAACCGCGGTCGACTACGTGGGAGTCCAGCGACATAGCCATTATGCTAACTGCTGGTCCCCTGTGCCTTCAGTTTTAAGAAGTTTTTGGATTTTTTCAACTCATGCGTGGAGCATTGTGATGAAGACTAATACCGTATCTTGATTTGCTTTTTACTAGATTTTGTCTTGGCACATTCACTCCACAGGGACCACGGTGTCCCAGGCCTTGTCTGGAAACGGGTTTCTGTAAAGCGCCCCTTGGTGTAAACACTTGACCTTCATGATGACACCACAAAGCAGCAGTGGAGGGGCTCATGGTAACTTCGAGGACAGAGGTGACACAATCTTCATGCCTGTAGGGACGATACGGCTCAGCAAAACACGCACCCGATGCAAGAGACTGCCAGTGCTATAAATCTGAATTGTATCAAGTTTGTGTTTAATATATAAATGTAGGTTGGTTTTACAGTTTTCTAAGACCTGCAAACAAAGGGATTTAAATCTACTTAGAGATTTGTGTATATTTAGATATACTACAATAAAATAATATAGGTCAACACCCTAAAGGGGCAAAGATTTATTTTCCCTTTAAGAGGGATTTGTACAATATCCTCCTCTGAGAAACAGCTTGAGTATCGATGGACAGCAGATGTGCAGTCATTCTCTTTTTTTTAAGTTGGCAACTTTATAGTGGTAACCAATCTTTTTTTTTTTTTTTTTAAGAGATTTTTGCTATAGAGCGCATGCGCTTGCCAGAAAGAAGGAGAGAAATTACTCGCCGGGGGGATAGCCATGCTGTAATCCCTTCTCCTCCATTCTCCTCTCGGGATCTCAGATCTTGGGCATGCACGCACACACACCCAGTGTGCGTTTAAGCCACTGGGTCTGGGACTCGAACTACGGTCGACTACATGGGAGTCCAGCGACATAGCCATTACACCAACTGCTGGTCCCCATGCAGTCATTCTCTTTCTGGCTGATTCCCTGCAGAGGCAACCACAGCTTAGCAGGCCCCACCTGCACTTAACCTGAAGCGCTGGGTCTTTGCCAGTGTCCAGACTCCCCCGATGGGTGTTGCCTGCAACGCAGTGCCCATGTATGTCACTGAAGGTCAGTCCACGGTGGTGCCCCAGGGCTCTGAGGTCAGCGGTCCTGATGGTCTCTGCAAACATCCCACGGGCCTCTCAGTCCGCCAGGATTTCTACCACTAGGTGTTCCTGTAGGTAAAAGTAGATACACTCTTTACAGCGTGGCAAGGACCAGGAGTGAGAAAGGAAGATGGCGTGTACGCTGTGTTCCAGCCACCTGCCAGGCCCACAGGCCCACTGGAGGCAGTCGCTATTGTGCCCACTTTGCAGACTAGAAGGCTGAGACTCGGGCAGGTCACATTTCTTGCCAGGGTCACAGAACTAGGGGACAGAAGAGCTGGGTTAACACGCAGGTCTGCCTGGCTCGCTCGTTCTACCATGTTGTCACTGATTCACTGCTCACCACGCTTTCAGATCGTTTTAGAGAACTCGATTCACCCGCGCACTTAGTCTTCTAGAGTAACCCTGATGAATGGAAAAGAGGAGAGGAGGTTGGAGAGGGAAGGAAGAATATGGGGACTAGCAGGGGGACGCCCTGGAACACTAAGGAATGTCTCTATGGCACTGAGGGGACACAAGGGCGAGGCCTGCAGGACACAGGGAGAATGCGGGCTGGCTGGGGGAGGGCAGACTCACCAGGGGAACTGCGGTCCTGCTCCTGTTTCCACCCTGAAGATCAGAACATTTGCGGTTACGTGTGCCCTTGTGCTGAGTTCCGTAATGAGTTTAGGGTAGAGCGTGGCCATGCACCCCCGCCCACCCATCCACCAAGCCTCAGGAGGGCTCGGCCACATCTGTGCCCCTCCCTGCTGAGTTTTTCTCTTCTAAGCCAGTGCCTGGACCAGGACAGAGGTAAGTGGGTTCAAGGCCATCACTATGGTGTGAGCCTCTCCCCAGAATTCCTGTGCTGAAATTTGGCTGTGAATGTATTACAGGAAACTTGATGGTATTGGGAGTGGGCTCTTTGGGGGTGATTAGGGTGGGGACCCTGTGATTGACTCCTGGTTGGTTTGTAAGAAGACATGACTAGATCCCGACCACACTCTCCTTCCCTCCACCATGTTTTTTTGTTTTCTTGTTTGTTTGGTTTTTTTTTTCTTTTTTCTTTTGGAGAGATTTTTGCTATAAGGTGCATGCGCTTGCCAGAAAGACAGACAGACAGAAAGTGAGAAATCACCCCCAGAGGGGATGGCCACACCGCAATCCCTTCTCCTCCATTCCCCTCTTGGGATCTTGAGCACACATGTACATGCACCTGGTGTGAATTTAAGCTACTGGGTCCAGGACTCGAATTGCGGTTGGCTACATGGGAGTTCAGTGACATAGCCATTATGCTAACTGCTGGTCCCCATGTTTTTTGTTTTTGTTTTGGGGGTTTTAAGAATTATTTTATTTAATATTTTATGTGTTTATTTATATATTTTAATTTGACCAGCGAGTGAGAGAGAGAAAGTGAGAGAGATAGAGAGAGAAAGCCTCCAGGTCCAGGACTCGAACCGCAATCAGCCACGTGGGAGTCCAGCGTCATTAACCACCATTCCACCTGCCAGCCCCGTTCCCTCCACCATGTTGAGATGCAGCCTTGCCAGATGAGGCTTCTGACCTTGAGCCAAACCAGGAGCCAACAGGTGGTGTAGTGGTTACGTCGCTGGACTCCCACATGGGCAATTGCAGTTCAAGTTCAGGACCCAGAGGCTTAAAACTCACGCCATGTGCATGCATGCTCAAGATCTCAGGAGGAGAATGGAGGAAAAGAGATTACAGCTTGGCCATCCATTCCGGGGGGCGATTTCTTGCTTTCTCTTGCTGTCTCTCTGACAACCGCATGTGCCCTATAGCAAAAATCTCTCTCAAAAAAAAAAAAAATTACCTGGACTTGGGTATTTTTAGTTACTATCAAAAGAACAGACTAGAACAGCCCCCTATTCTGTAGGGGTCTCTGGGAAAATCCATAAAACCTCTTATAAAAACACACACTCAGGTGAAGCATGTTGACAAATGTTGGTGCTCTACAACCCAGCCTCAGAGGAGCAAGGTTTAGCCCTCAGAATGAGCAGAAACAGGCAGCACTGGGAGCACCTGCTGGGTTTCCCGCAGGCTGCTGACGAGGCCGGCCCTGGCGTCTGCCAGGAACGCCCCGTTTGGCTTGTCCAGATTTCGGTCCCAGCTCTCTCCACATCACATAGGACGCAGCAGGTCCCCTGCCTCTCACTGCTGGCCGTGCCTTGTTAGTAAGACCGTCCACACGCGGCTCCTCTCCAAGCTCAGCCTCTGCTCTCACCTGAAGCCCTCCGTGTTCCCAACTCCAGCTCGCCCTTCCCTGCAGAGACGTGTCTGAAGCCCAGACAAACCTGCTTCCATCTCCACCAGCCCGGACCGTGAGCCCTGGAACCCGCACGACCACTCCACTGTTTACCGCCCTGGCCTGCCTCTTACGTGCTCTGTCTTCTCCCCGGCCTTCAGACCTGCCACTTTTGCTGCTGTCCATGTGACCCCCTGTAAAGTCCCCCGTTTTCTGTTTGGTTGCCCTAAGGAAGCTGTCGCAGACCGGGGAACCACACTGCAGCGTGCGATGCTAGAGTTGTGGCCCAGGGACAGCCTCGGGCTCTTCTGAAGTGAAATACTTCAGTCCCTGGAAATGAAGCCCCCCTTCTGGTAACCCAGAGCCTCTTTGTTTGGTTAAAAGGTATAGCCAATGTAACATTCTTCTCTGCACAGAAACAAGTCACGATATTGTCAATTAAGAGCACAAATGTTATACGAGATGACTGGTATTTCTAATCTTTATTTTTATTGACATCAAAACTCCCCTAAAGAAGCTAACAGGCATTTTATTTCTCCACTCACCACTTTGGAACCGTATTCTCTGCATCTCAGGGCCTGGTCTCTTGCATGAGCTAGATAAATGTGGCTGAATTGATTAATTAGGTGAACAATCTGTCTCTTGAATTCAACTTACATTTAAGTTAGGCAACATTCTGTTTGTTTTTTCTCTTTGCTTTTGTCAGAGTTGAGCCAGACCTCAAGAACAGTTGGCAAATCTCCATAAACAAAAAAACATTTGAAAGGAACATCAAATTTAGAACAAAAATGCAACAGGAAAAACTCAAATGTAGTTTTGCTGATGCCTCCTGCTCTGATTTCACTATCTTTTTAAATGTATTGTAATTTGTGATTTACGTAGAATCATCACACATCTTTGCAGGGTACGGATGGTCTGTAAAAGCATGTATACAGCGTGTAATAAACAGAGAATATAGACACATTCACCACCTTCAACATTTAACATTATATTATTTTGTGAACATTCAAAACCTGCTTTACTGGTTATTCTGGAAGTATGGACTGAATGGTCTATGATGTTCTTTACTGTGAAATGCAGTTCTCAAGAAAAAAAAATGATTAAAACTCAGACAGCAAAAAGCCTCATAAATTAATAAGGATGGATTTTAAAAAAAATAAAAACAAAGATTATTCTAACATAGCTAGTTAAAGACAGCTTATTAGGAACAGATGGAAAAATAATTTTTTTACTTACTGTGAGTTCTTATGAGACCATAGTAGTGTTCTATGCATAAGGAAATAAGGTCGTTGGAGCCAGCAGGTGGCGTGGTAGTTAAGGCCCCAGACTCCCACATGGTTGACCACAGTTTGAGTCCCAGACCTGACGGCTTGCTTCCTCACTTTCTCTCTCTCTCTCTCTCTCTCTCTCTGTCTCTGTCTCTTTGGTGGGAACATGTTCCCTATAGCAAATTTTAAAAAAACAATAATAACAGTAACAAATAAAATGAAATAACTCTTTTTTTTTAAAAAAAAAAAGAAGTCCTGGGGAACCAGCAGTTAGCGTAATGGCTATGTCACTGGACTCCCACGTAGTCGACTGCGGTTCACGTTCCGGACCCGGTGGCTTAGAACTCACGCCGGGCGCGTGTTCATACGTGCCCAAGATCCCGAGAGGAGAATGGAGGAGAAAGGATTGCGGCGTGGCCATCCCCCCTGGGGGGTGATTTCTCGTTTTCTGTCTCTATGTCTCTCTCTGTCTGTCTGGCAAGCGCACGTGCCCTATAGCAAAAACCTTTCCAAAAAAGAAAAAAAGAAGTCCTCAAAAAAACAAAAGCAAAACAAAATTAGAAAAAAATGTTTAAAAGCAAAGACATGGTAAAAAAATCAGTGATTTGGTGATTTATAAGCTTGTCAAAGTTCTTGATTTTAGCCTTCTTTAAGTTCACTCCACAGTCTCAGCTACTTGTAACATTTACACTGTTCCTGTAGTATCTAGTTTTATACGATGAGTGATGGTAATAATAACCATGTGAACTGAAACCTGTGCAGACCACTGTCTCAAACAACTGGTGAATTTGCACATAGCCTGTTTGTGTGTAAAATACCTTCGTCTGCATTTTTTTTCCGTTTTTTGGAAAGGGTTTTGCTATAGGTCACGTGCACTCGCCAGAAAGACAGAGAGAGACAGAAAGATAGAAAGCGAGAAATCACCCCCAGGGAGGATGGCCACGCCGCAATCCCTTCTCCTCCATTCTCCTCTCAGGATCTTGGGCACGCACGTACACATGCCCGGCGTGAGTTTTAAGCCCCCGGGTCCGGGCCACGGTTGACTACGTGGGAGTCCAGCGACATAGCCCTTATGCTAACTGCTGGTCCCCTTCATCTGCATTTTTAGCACTTCTGTTGGGAAATTTAATCCCAACATTCAATGTTACTATCAGGATGTGTGGATTTACCTGTTTTTTCTATTAGGTTGCTGGGAAAGTCATGACAAGTTTTTCTCTATGCTTTTTCTCTGCAAAATGCATCATGACTTTACCGACAGCCCAATCTTAGTTTTGTATTCTCTTACTTCCATTCATATCCCTTTAGTTTTCCTGGTAGAGTATTCCCTAAGTGTTTCCTTTTTTTTTTTTTTTTTTGAGAGTTTTTCGCTATAGGGCCTCATCAGACAGAGAGAGACATAGAGACAGAAAGCAAGAACTCACCCCCCAGGGGGGATGGTCACACCGCAATCCCATCTCCTCCATTCTCCTCTTAGGATCTTGGGCACGCACGCACACGTGCCCAGCGTGAGTTCTAAGCCACCGGGTCCAGGACACGAACCGTGGTCGACTACGTGGGAG